TTGTTGCAGTTGTCATTGTTGTTTAGTTGGCTCAGGCCAGGTTCGAACCTACCAACTTTGGTGTGGCCGGTGCGGTAACCACTGTTCTACGGGCGCTAAGCCTATATAATTCTTTTTGAAAAAAATTATAGGACATATCACTTAAAAGTTTTTTAAGTAACTAATGACTAAAGAATTTAGTTGCATATATCTTAAAAAAATATAGTGAGGCATAATACTACTCGATTTGACATTATGTTAACTGCTTTATTGATTATCTTTTCAAGAATAATAAAGTTTAATTTAAGACATTCTTTTAACAATTTTTTAAACTACGTAAAACTTTTATGATCAGAAACAGCAAAATTCACATTAGGTTTATTAATGGTAGAAAAACCTACCAAGAAACTTACTGGGATAGGAAATTCAGCAGACTATGTGGCTTTTTTCCTCTATTTAGGTTTTCCTTTCTTAGCTCTTGTTACTACCTTACAGTCTTTCAAAGCCCTTAGATTCTGGTTGGTGTTGTTACAGCTCATCAGATTTACTCACAAGACCCATACAGGGTGTCTGGTGAGAAAAAGGAAAGAAGCATATGTTCTCCTGTGTCCTTGGCAACTTGGAGAAGGAGGTTGAATCACATAAATGAAAATGAAGCCCATTACAGATTTTCGTTTTACAGAATTTATTTGAACTTTCTGTTTTCAACTTCTTCCTCCCCATCTCATGTTTATATCTTATTTCCTCCTAAAAAATAATTTAAATGTAGCTACTGTTTACAGTACCTGTAAGCTACTGTTTTTTTCTTTCTTTTTTCCTTATATTGTCCTTCTCATGTCTCTGGTATATGCAGTTATAGGAGTTTATAGCTATTCATTTCATTAAGATCCAAATAGTTAATACATGAAAGAGTAAGATAGGATAATCTTACTTATAGCAATTTAGATTCACAACTGGGACTTGCCTTTATTTTGAAGGTTACATGAGATTTAAAAAAAATCTTTTTCCTATCTTTTTTGGGGAACTTTGTAAACAATGCATTATTATTCTGTTTCTATAATTTTGTAAATATAATGTAGATTTTTAGTGTTTTGAGAAATTCAGAGCAGAAGATTCTTTTAAAGATTTGCCCCCAATATTATTTTTTTTCTATTATTATGGAGTTTCAAGTTTTCTTTAAAGTAAAAAAGCCACATTGTAAACCATTTTACCTTCCTTTAAAGGCACTTAAATTCTTTTAAAGTGAACTATATAAATTCAAATTTGAACTTATATAATTTCTAAAATATTACTGCATATATTTATGTAACTTTAGCTTTAGATTTATATGTTGTTGATTGTAAATTATTACCCACACTGGTGTGAAGTATCATCTTGTGTGGAAGGAGGCCAGGCAGCAAACTTCCAGATGCTTTGAGTATAAAGTTGCAGAATCTCAAGAGTATAGAGGAATTCCTCTGGTTTAAAGGGAACTGTGGAGGAGGGGAAAATCTAGGATCAGGAAGGTGTAGCCAAGCATTCTTATCCTCTGGTACCATAGATTTCCAGTGACCATCTTAACTCTCTTCAGTTTATTGGATCCCTTCCCCTCACATTTTATGGAAACAGCTTTAATTTCAAAATAGAACTTATTGATAACATGGTATTTTCTTCCCAACTTTGTAAAACATTTTTGATAATGAATATTTGATAGACTTGGTATATTAGATTTTCTTTGTTGCTGATTCAAACATAAATTGTATGACCGGAAACTTTCTTCCTAAGGTTAAAGAAAAATAAATAAATAAATGTTAAAAGTAATTAATTATCTTGGGCAGTATTAGCTTATTTGAGTGCTACTTTATGGTTGGGCAATATGCAGAGGAATGTGTAGTTTCTGTAACTTACGCTTCACAGCTCTAAATTTTAAAATTAAGATTTTATAGTTTTTAAGGCATGTATTTACCAACTTTCTCCTTATTTTTATGTGGCTATGTATGTTTAGTAAAAATCATGTAAAGCAGGTGGCACCTGTAGCTCAGTGGGTAGGGCACCAGCCACATACACTGAGGCTGACAGGTTCGAACTCAGCCCTGGCCAGCTGACAACTGCAACAAAAAAATAGCTGGGTGTTGTGGTGGTGCCTGTAGTCCCAGCTACTTGGGAGGCT